GGAGACCTGACTTGAAGTTGTGTTTTTATATAGTAACCACAGTTCTTTTTTGCACATGTTTTGAGGTGACTTGGGGAAGTGATCATTATTGGTCATGGTAATGGTGAGGGACAGGGCATTCCAGTCATGTCTAGGCACAACAATGTCTTTTGCTGTCGAATCAGTTTCGACTCATAGTGACCTTGTAAGGGGTTTCCAAGGAGTAGCTGGTGGGTTTGAACCACTGCCCTTGCATTTCAAGCCAACTTTGCAGTCCAATGCATATCCTACAGTGTCGCACCAGGACTTTAGAAAGAGACGGTAAGGCTGCTATATAATAGAGAAAAGGAATGAATGTTAGGGAGTGAACAATTTCCACTACACCTTAAACTAGAGCAACAGAAATGGGATGGGGAGAAGATTTGCAAGATCTCAGAGATGAGCAGGCAGAAAGTGGTGTGATGTGGGTGAAAGAAGAGAGCAGGGGGCTAGTAAAGCAGAAGTGGGCTTTGTTGGCTGCACTTGTGGTGCGGATGAGAAGTTTCTTACATGTGAACATGAGGTATCTCCGCATGGAGCTGTTAAGTGCTGTTAAGTCGGTTCCGACTCATAGCAACCCTGTAAGGGGTTTCCAAGGAGCGGCTGGTGGTTTTGAACAGTCAGTGCTTACACTACAAGCACCACACCAGGACTCCATCCAGGCAGAGATAAGCGCAGGTTATCACCGCTCTAGCTTTAAGTCATCTTTCTGTCTGGGAGTAGGGATAGGGTGGTGGTGGAAGGTAGGGTACAGCTGAAACAAGACTGGCCATGAGTGAATAATTGAAGTTGGGTGAGAAAACAAAAATTAGCTCAGATTAAGAAAAGTAAAACTTTGCTCTTCATTCATTAGGCTGGAAAGAAGGATACAGGTAAAGTCAGCGCAAAGTTACCTTGATGTTTCTCCCAAGGGCATGCTGCAGCTGTACCATGTCATGGTGACCCCTTCTTTGTGTGACTACCACTTTCGTTCTCTAAAATGATGGACTGAGATTCATTGTTTGAAACGGTATCAGTTAAAGATGAAGCATCATTGTCTTCCCTCGTGTATCTAAGTCACTTTGACACAGAGATTTAATTTCCAATCCAAGTTCAGAACTTGCTATGCACCTGGGTCTACTTTACAGTTCAGATCAGATGCTGACTCTTTTATGCAGCCCTAACTTTGCTATCAAACACAGCTTCATTTAATTTACCTACATTTTACTCTTCCCCCAAACCCAGTAACTCCACTGGAGTTCTTTTCCCATTTGGTGAGCTGTTCCTCAGTTTTCCTGATTTCAGTCCAGTGTCAGACATATCTACAGAACTGTAAGATAATATTAATTGTGCTGTTTTAAGCCACCACATTTGTTGTAATTTGTTTTGGCAGCAAGAGAAAACTAACACAGGATCACTCAGGGAAAGTGAATAAAGACAGAAATAAGTCAAGGGTGTCAGTGGACACCAATGTTTCTGAAAAGAGGAGAAAAGATAGATAAGGAGACAGGAGGTACCCAAGAGGAGGGAGAGCCAAGCAAGGAGAAAGTCCCAAGGAGAAAGTGGCCCAGAGTATTTCAACTCTGTCCTATTGAAAGTGAAAGCTACAGGTTAAATAGTCTTTTCAAGTACGTTTTTTCCTTGCTTCATTCGTCCTGTGACTCCAGCATTTGTGTATAACAAACAGCTTCTTTCACCTGAAACTATCACCTTCTCCCTTCAAATTGCTGTCTGAGAACTTTCACAACTTCAATCCACATGTTATAAACCCATCAAGGTAATATTCAAGTTCCAGAACAGCAGGTTTTACCACATCATAAACTGGAAAGAGATTCAGCTATTTTTATGTGTTAATCCAACTTATGTGACTCTAGGGGATGGCCTAAACCAAGAGTGAGAATAGTCAAGAGAATGACTTGACTTGAGACAAAAATGAGGAAAATGGACCAATTTAGGCAAAATGTTTCACAGAGACAGTCAGTCCTGGTACACCTTCCCAGCCTCCCAATACTCCCTTTTAATCTCCAAGGTGCTGTCCTGCTCCTCAGATTCAAAGGCTCCATCTAGAACTATCCCTCCCTGGATACTTAAGGTCCCAAATTACTTCCCATTAAAATGTTTATTCTCTCTACAGATGATCTCAGCTACCAATTTGGAAAATGGCAAATTATTTCACCTCAATGAGACTGTTAATGTGACTGACTATCCTAGATGATATTTATGTTCAAAACGGCAATGCTTATAACTGGAAAGGAATCTCTTCATTTGTCAGGCTTCAAGACACTAAGTAAAGAATGTGAATGAAGAGAGTATTTCTAAATTATAAACTCACAACCGACATCTGGTGTTGACAAACTGGGCAGAATGCCTTGTTCTCCACCCCCATGCACCCTTCAGAATTCAGAAGGTATCTTAGTAGGGGCAGGGGCTGTCTTTCTTAGGAAAGCTGTCATGATTATATTGACTCTTCCTCTTAAAGCCCCTGACACACCTCTATGCTTCCCCTTTTAAATGCCCATCACACCTGTAATTACCTGTTCAGGGTCTATAGTCTTCTCCACTAGATCACAAGTTCTGTGAGGGAAGGACAAAGTCTGACTTCTGTCGTGGTCACTGTTACCTCCTTGGTGCCTGGCACATGGCAGATGCCTGTGAATATTTGCTGATGAATGAATAAATGAATGAAGAGTGGAATCTCGAGCTTTAACTCTAGGAATGTGGGTGATTTCTACATTAGTGGTCCCTGGAAACATAACCGGGAGATTAACATTGGGGCTCCCCAAACTAAAAGGCAAAAAACCACTAAGTTTCCTGCACACACCAAATATCCTATCTTTATCTGTGGCTTTCTCCAAAACCTGCAGCAGCAAACAAAAGAACATGTGGGACAGATTTTTGACAAGAGCATCAAGACAATCCAATGGGGGAAAAGAATTGTCTTTTCAACAAATAGGTAGTTCTGGAACAACTGGATATCTACATGCAGAAGAATGAAGCTGGATCCGCTCCTTACACCAGAAACAAAAAAAACTAATTCAAACTGGATGACAGACTTAAATGTAAGAATGAAAACCATAAAGCTCTCAGAAGAAAACATAGGAGTAAATCTTGTGACCTTGGGTTATTCAAAGGCTTTGACACACCGAAAGCACAAGTGGTATAATAAATCATTTGGACTTCATCAAAATTAATTTGTGCTTCAGAGGGCACTATCAAGAAAATGAAGATGATTTTCATTTTTTCCATGGGAAAAACCCATAAATAGTGTTATCTGATAAATAACTATTGAAAAATGGGCAAAGGGTTTGAACATTTTCCCAAAGATATACAAATAGCTAATAAGCACATGAGAAGATGTTTAACATTATTAACCACCAATTAATTCCAAAGCAAAATTATCATGAGCTACCACTTCATACCCACTAGGATGACTGTAATAAACATGACAAAGTATTGGCAAGGTTGTGGGGAAATTGGAACCCTTACACATTGTGAATGGGAATGTAAAATGGTGCAGCCACTTTGAAAACCATTTAGCAATTCCTCAAAATTCCTCAAAATGTTAAATGTGGAGTTTCCATATCCACAAGAGATGAAAACACAGGTCCACACAAGAACTTACACACAAACGTTCACATTATTCACAATAGCCCAAAGTGGAAGCCCACAAGTTCATCACCTGAGAGAATGTGGTAAATCCAAACAATGAAGTCAGACATAAGAAGGCATGAAGTGCTGATCCACGGTACAACACGATGGACTTTAACAGTATGCACATCAGAAGGCAATCACAAAAGACCCTATCTTGTTTGATTCCATTTACACGAAATATCCAGAATAGACAAATCTAAAGACACAGAAAGTAGATTATGGTTGCCTATGGCTGGGTGTATGTGTGTGTATGAGGCTTAGGGGGTCATGGGGAATGACGACTACCTAGTATAGAGTTTCTTTTTGGGGTGATAAAAACATTCTGGAATTGACTGAGGTAATGGTCACACAACCCTGCAGATATACTGGAAACCATTTCATTGAGTTTACATCTTAAATGGAAAAACTTTAAGGCATATGATTATATCTCAATAATGCTGTTAAAAACAAAACCAAAAAAAAAACAGTGGGATAAAGAAACCACTGTATTTTTATTTGAAAACACTGCACATTTGCTAGAAAACAATCTTGCAATCATTTTTCCCAAGGCATGAAGGAAAAGACGGTTTTCCAATTCCTGAGGCACTCTGTCCCTCGCACTCTGCCCTCTCCTGAGTGCCTGCACTCCAGTCAAGGGCTCCCTGCTGGAACTCTTCTCCCATGATTCACCAGCCTGCAGGCAATGGTGCACTTCAATTCTCCCTTCACAAAAGGTTGTCCTTGATGCTTGAAGAGCAGCACACACACAATATTTGCCTTGCTAGCAAAGGCAGACTCCTTTAAGACTGAAATTCACCAGCTAAAGCATTTAGGGCATATCAGAGTGTCAGGATGACCAAACACTAAATGTTACATGCTAAACTTTTGGGCTTTTCCTTTTGGTCAGGTCCTAAAGAACACCCCTTGCTCAATCTCCATACCAAGAGCAGAGGATGAAAAGAGAGAAAGCAGCTTCCTGGAGTCCTGGCTTCCTTTCTTGGCTCTGGGCTCACACTGCTTCCTGAGCCACTTTACTTCCCTCTTTCATGCTCTCTGAGGTGTCTGGGAGCAACTCCTACTCTGGCACATCAGAGGGCACACATGAACACACAGGGAGGCACGTTGGTGAAGGGCTCCAGAAAAAAAGCTAAAACTGTTCTTAGGGTGAAAACTGCTAGTCTCAAGGGGAGCTCAGAGCAGCCAGGCACCAAGAGATATACACTGTAATGAGTGGAACTGGAATAGAAAATAAGCAAAACCATGAAACTTTAGGAATGGTGGTGGTGGTGGTGGTAGTGGGAGGTGATCAGACATTTTCCTAGCTTCAGAAAGCTGGAGAGCCCAGATCCCTGCCAGAACAACATGACATTTGATCACAGATTCTTCACAAAGGTGTTTACCTGTAGAAAAAGAAAAACCAAAAGTTAAAATTTCCATTTCAGACTATTCAGTAGCATCCACAATGTATATGTAAGGCAAATCCAGGGGGTTTGTAAGGAAGTGAAAATGGTATGGAGAAGAAAGTGATCTGCCAAAGGTCATAGATTAGCAAGTGGCAGAGCTGGAAATGGAACCCAGAGGACTCGTTTCCCTACTTATGGAATACCTTAGGTAAGAGGTTCATTGGCAAGCACATTGCAAGTTCATTATATAACAATTATTACTCCAAAACACATTGAGTGAATAAGGCACTACCCACAGCCACCACCTTGATTCTCACTTATGGTGACCTTAGAGGACAGAGCAGAACTGCTCCATAGGGTTTCCAAGACTAAATCTTTATGGAAATAGTCTCATCTTCCTCCCGAGGAGCAGCTGGTGAGCTTGAACCACTGACCTTGTGGCTAGCATACCAGTGCTTAACTAATAGTGCCACCAAGGCTCCTTCTTTAGCAAATAGGGATTATGTTCATAACTAGTGTAAGCTGCCACATGCTTTCAGTGTGAAATGGAATGGAACGGAGGTTAAAAAAAAAGCACACTATCCATCATACTGAAAGATGAAAGCACAACAAGAAAACAGGCAAGGTCCCAGGAGGCAGGCGGTAAGACCCTTTCCACCTTCCTCATGAGTTCCTCTTGTTTGGCTCCTCCTTCAGTAAAGTCCTCATTGACATCCAACACCAGCACTGGAGTGTTCACCAGAGCCTCAAAGTGGAGCCTGCAGAAGCGAGATCAATGGAGGGACAGAAGGAGAAAATAAACCTGAGCCAGGCTTCATATACTCAGTAAGTCTCAGTAGTTCACAGAATAGATCTGAACTCACAGGGCTGCTCAATGAAATCACAAGTAAACAACATTTAAAAAAAATATATCACTAAAGTTGGCTGAAGAGAGGAAGGCTGAGATTTCTCTTTGGTCGTGAGTCTGATACTGAAGGTCAGAGCCCCAAACATTTTAAGATAACAATATACCAAGCCTGAATGGGAGAAAAAGTAAAAACAAGGAATGACAATTCAATAAAGTGGACAATTTCTCTAAAACTTTTCAGCCTTTCACTGTGTGCCAATAGTCACCATCACTAATGATGGTGTTCAATCTATGGAAATGTATAAAGAAAAAAACTCAAGAATCAATCTAATAAAAAGTCCCTTGGAATGGAAGGCTTCATCCAATATTAACTTCTGAGTTGGAAAATGCTTGACACCTTAAACAACTACTTTTAGTACATTTTGAACCTTTTTATGGAGATGCATATTAAGCTTAACCTACAGGAAGTTTATTGAGAGGTAGGTCTCTAATACTGCTCTTCTCACCACTTACTTGGTTGTCTTGTGAACAAGCCAGGCTTCATGCTGACCATGAAGCTGCTCGAGATAACCCAGTCCAACTCCTTTCTCTTCTTCCCTGGCCCTCTGGTGCAGTCTCTTCAAACAAACCTGAAAGAAATTCCCCAGATCCTGTTGAGCTCATTTTGCTGTTACATGTAGTCAGGTGGGGCTCTTAGACCCACCCATGGTGTCTCTCCTGGGCACAACAAGCCATAGCTTTGCTTCTGCTATCTTGGTTTCTTATTCAACGAGATGAAAAAATTCACTGGCCTGACTCCATCATTTTCCCTGCTTTAACCCTACCTTCTCTGGAGTATCTTAAAATGGTTAATAGCAAGTATCATCCAATTAGACAACTAAGCTAGGAATCTAGAATTGGCCATCTTTTCCCTCCTCCCAACTATCTCTAGGAAGTCATTAAATTCTCTTTAATCTCTTTTGAGTTGGTTCTTTCCTTGTCACTCCTCCCACCTCTGCCCAATCAGAGCCCCTCATTTACTCTGCCCTCCTGAGGAGGCCAAGTGTAGTGCAAGGAGCACAGGCCTGCAAGTCAGAGTTCAGGATTAAAGCTGGTATCCACCATGGACTAACTCTCATCTTAGTATTCACCAGGGCTTTGCACTGGGACGTTAGCCACCTGCACAACATTTTACATAGCAGTGCTTTCATTTCTGTTCCGCTCTTCCCTTGGGTATAGTTACTTCTGAATCTCAGAGAAGACATTAGTGGGTAGCGTCAGTGAAGGAAATGGACACTCTCTGGTCCGTGGCTCTAATGTAAAAAAAAAAAAAAAAAAAAAAGCACACAAATCTCCATTAATCCCAAAACAAATGTGCTTTTATTCTTTTTCTGCCATTAAACTGCAGCCATACTTCAGCTCCCCTCATTCCTCTCCTCTCCAGCTTAACTATCTCAAGTAGTCTCTTCACAAACATATATC